AGTTTTAAGCGTTGGAGGTATTGAAAAATTCGATGTAAACATTAATTCTTTTGATGTAAACATTAATTTTTCGGATTCAAAACATTAATGTTTTATGCCTGAAATAAAGATAGCGACAAATGGGACTGTAGGAAAATTGAAAAAAATATTCAAGAATCATCGGCGATTAAAAACTTACCGAAAAAAGAATCAAATTTTAAAAGTAGCAAGTGTTAAATTGTGAATGATAGGAATAAAATCAGCTTAAATATGAGATATCCATTTCAAGGACTTGATTCTATAGTTTTACATATAATGGATCCTGTTTGATTTCTTGTGCTTGATTTTTGAATTTTTTTCTTTAATTTTCCTATTAATTTTCAACGACGATGCATGTGAAGATGTTAGAAAAAGAAATCAGTAATACTGTTATTAGATTTGAAAATTACCAGATGAAAATATTATTTCTTCTCCCAAAACAAAAAAAAAAAATAATTGTTTATATAAATTAAATTCAAAAATGTTGGATTTCTATCAAAAAAGTGTGCAAATTTTAAAAGTTTTTTGTGCAAATTTTTAAAATTTCCATGCAAATTTCAAAAGTCAAAAATAAAACGCTTATATTTCTGCTGATATCCATCGTAGCTTTCAGAAAGAAGTTGCAAATTAAAATTTCCACAATTTTCAACAGCTCAAAAGTTTTTTTAAGCCTTAACAATAATCTGTTGAAAAGTTCCAAGCAAATGAAATTTTCATGTGCAAAGTTGTGCAAATTTCAAAAGTATTTACCCTAGTATACTCACACAAAGTTTCACTGTAATTGTATAAACCTTCGAAGAAAAAAAGTGAAAAATTAGATTTTGACTAGACCTGTCCCAAGTTCATAATTGAAAATGTATTTTCTACTTGGTTCTTTGCTCAAAAAAAATTTAGGATGTTTTATTTGTATTTATTTTAAGCAAAACTGAAAACAGATTTTAAAAATATTTTTTTTTCTTAAAGCTGGAGCGTTTTAAGTGGTGGGAAAACCATACAAATCGTCAGATATCAAATATACCTTATATATCGAAATATTTTAAATGTTTTTAAATGTCATTTTCTATTAGAAAACATTGAAAAAATATTTGTTATTATTGTTTTGTAATTTTTATGAGAAATTTTTGATTTTGATCATATATTTATTTAACGGCTTACAGAATACTTTTTATCTCAAAAGTGTACAGATAAAATTTTAAAGTTCATACAGTTTTGAAAACTAGAAGTCAAGGGCATATGGTTTTACCTTTTAAGTAGTCGTCATCTAAGATAGTTGCGGCGTGTTTGAAGATATTTTTCCTAGGATTTTCATACATTTACTAGCATATGAGTGCAAAAATTTTATCGAAAAAAATTTTACACTTCACCAAATATCTTCTTCTTATTTAGGACTACTAGAAAGTGAACCCCGTTTTTTATTTAAATTCACCGTTGCAGAGAATTTTGACTTCAAAGTTGAACTGAAAAAATCTGTTTTTTTGCTATTTTCCAACTTCAAACAGCCATAAAATTGCAGGAACAGCACCAAATGACTTAAAATTTGGCATAAAAGTCAGGTTTTATGTCTTCTACAAGAGAAAAATCTTGAGAACGTAATTCGAAAAAGTCCCAAAATCAAAGTGAAAGTCCCTCTTTTTTTTAATTTTGCCCCATAGTTTGGGTGGATTTTTTTCATAAATGCACCTAATGCAAGAGTTCCAAAATTTCTTTAGAACTATATTTTCATTTATTAATTAAAAACTTTTAAGCATTAAAAGTAAGTTTCCAACAAAATGTAATAATAAAAATGAAATTCTTCCCATTGACACAGCTATTTCTTAATTCTTGAAAATTTAAATGTTTAAAAAAGGGTTTTCATCATTCACATAAACCAAAACGAGAAAGAGAAAATTTCTTTACATAAATATTTACGAGTTTCAAATAAGTGAATAAAAGAACATTCCAAAAAGTTTATGCATTACTTTTAAAATTTTATGAAATTTATTTTAATAAAAAATCTTCATATTTTTCTGATTTTTATATTTTTTTTTCGCTCAACAATTATGATACTTAAAACTTTTGATAACTATGATAAAGGAATAAAAATGGTGGAGTAAAATTCTCAAAACTAAATGAAGTTTCTTGTAAGAAAAAAATGTTAAAGTAGCTTGAAGCAGAACGAAAGTTTGAGAGAAAAACTTATTGCGTATAGATTTGTAATGTTGATTACCAATTAAGAATCAAGCCATCGATCTTTTTTTATTATCTGAATTTTAAAGACTTTTCCTGTTATTCTCTTTAGGGGTTGTTCGCTTACGAAGACATCCAAAATTAACGCCGTCCAAAATGAATGGTCATTTTTCAAAAAAGAACAATGGAGATCCACGATTTAATCTGAAAGTGCTTTATTCAAGGATTTTGCTATCGCGCAAAATTAAGTATTAGTATTTATTTTCCAACTTTTCGTCATTTCGGTTATCAAACACGAAGTGCAGTAAATGTTGCGATATTAAATGACAAAAATTCTTGGAAGGGCAAATATTAAAAGCACGATATGGCAGCATAGTTTAAATATAATATTTATTGCCATATCCAGGATATTTTTTGTTGCGGCTGTTGTAACGACACTCAAGGAAGAAAATGAACTAAATGAATATTAAATTATGCACCCTCATTTACATATCAAGCATTCACAATTTTTGTTTACAAAGTAAAGACTTTTACTTATCGTTTCATCAGTTTTTTGTTTGCTCCTTTTTTTGTAAGCATCTTACAACAATAGAATCTAATTATGTAAGGTGTTAAAAATTTCTTATTTTATGTTTAAATATTTCAAAAATATTTTTTTTACTTCTCTTTGCTGCTTCTAATTCTCTTTGCTGCATAGTCAGCTCTATTAGGATTTCTATGGTAAAAATTTGTTTTAAGATTTTGCCCTCCTTTTTAATTTTGACTAAACATAAACTCACTGCATAAAGATGATAAAACAAAAACAATTCAGACAAACAGGGAAGTTGCTTTTAAATTAAACAATGTATAAAAACACCATCGCTGATTTGCTTTTACAGAAATTGGAATTATTAATTTAAAATTTAAGTAAATTTTTATCTCAAAAATTACAATAATTTAAGTGAACAAATCAACTTTACTAAGAAAATCAGTCTTAACTAAAGTGATCTAGATTCTAGATTCTCTGTGAACTTAATAATGTTAAGTATCATTGCAATTGCAACAAGTGGTTTAATTGTTCAAATTTATTATTCAAATTAAATTACAAAGTTTAAACCACTAAAAACTGTCCCCTCCCCCGTTCAAATTTCATAAAAAAAAGTTTTAAGTAAATCTTTAAATAAATCATATAGCCAAATAATATGTAAATTTAATGCATTTAGAATTCTACATGATTTAACACTTAACATTGAGATTTATAACTGTCAAATAATATATGAATTGTTGATTACTGTTTTAAAAAAACTCGCAAAGTCTCTTATTGATATAAAATTTTAGGTTTTAAAAAAAAATCTTAAAGAAAAAATCTTTCCAAATGTCAAAAGTCAAATAATCCAATTTGAAATATTTGGAAAAAAATTCAAATTTTTCTGAAAGATTTGACAAGTAAAAATCTGCAAAATGGTCCCTAATTTTTTGCTTTAACATCATTTGCTTTAACATTTTTTATTAAAACCTTTTTTCTCTTTTTAGCGCATTTTATTTATCTTTTTTGCACTTTCTTAATCGTTTCAAAATCATTTAGCGTCTTTTTTCTAATTATTTCAAAGATATGGAGTATGCTAGTAAGGAAGTTACTACACAAGAAACAACGTGAATGAAAAACTGAAACCATAGATATATTAAAGTATAAACGGAATAATGTTGAGTGTTTTTCTTTTTTCAGTTCATTATGTCACTCATTCTCCCTTCTTTTTTTCGTTTAAAGCTTTCATGAAACGGCAACATTTATATTTAAATTGACGTAAATTTTTTATCGTGACAGCAGAGTAATGGAAAAATTTCACTCACAAAATATAATTTTCATATTTAATATTTTGAGCTAAATCACTTATTTTTGAGTTCATCTTTCTAAAGATGATTGTAGTGCACTGATAAGGGTTCATGAAAAAATAATCTTTATTATAAACACCCAATGATTGACTCCTGAACGGAATCCATGTGAAGCCGTGTGAAGTCAATTTTTTGGGGGGTTTGAAAGGATTCATGGTGATTCAGGGTGGGGGGGGGGAGGTTATGAAGATTTGTAAAGCCATGTGAAGTTTTGTAAAGTTTGCGAAGTCATGTGAAGGGAATGGGTTATGATGCCATGTGAGTTTGCCCTAAAAAATTAATGGTTATATGTGTCGTACAATTATTTACGAAATAGTTATCCTATTTAAACCCTCATAACTTACGTCCGCGAATATGAAGTATGAAATAAGAAGCATAATAATGTTCTCTTTTTTTCTCATCCACGAGTTAAAGTTACGGTTTATTTCTTACTAAAAAAATTAGTTAAACTATAATTGAGGGTTTCTTTTACATTACCATATACAATACCAACATAATAAATCTTTCATTTTTTTTTTCATTTAATTCAATACTCTTTTTTATGCCTAAGCAAACGTAGCCCTTTTTCATCTAATACATATGAAGAAAAATAAATGGATTTTTTTGTTCTCTTAAATATAACAAACTGTATCTTTGAGTTTTCTTTTTTGGAATCTTTTTCAGGTATGATTTAAAAACAAATAAATTTTGTCGTTGAAGTTTCTTATTGAGAAAGTTATGACTTTAGAAAAGGCCTCTTTAGTTATTTTGATTTATTATGCTGAATTTTGCTGAACTTCAGCAACTCCACTGCAATAAAAACAGAAAGAAACAGAGACACATGTGTGCTCTTATTTATTAAGTACAATAAATTTTAATTCAGTTTTAATCCACAATCAAGTGAGTTCAAATCGATTAAAATTACTTGCAATAAAACCAATTAAAATTATTTTAAAACCGTTAGAGACCGGCTTCATTCATTCAAAAGTTTATATTAATTCAACACATAAAATGACAGGAAAAAATTTGTTGTTGATTGGTAGCGGAGGTAAAGTTTTATAATTTATGAACTTGATATTTTTTTTTTAATATTTAATTTTTAAAAGGCAGGGAACATGCTCTGGCCTGGAAACTTCAACAAAGCAAAAATGTTACCAAAATTTTTGCATTTCCTGGGTCTATCGGAATATCAAAACTAGAAAAAGTTATTCTATTAAATAACAATGAGATTAATCTCAATGATTTCAAGGTGTGTATTATCAATAATATTTACTTAGACGAGCCTAGACATATGATGCATTAATGATTTTTTTAATTGATGCATTTTATTCTGATTTGACCCTTACGTCTTATTTGCTTTATCAATAATTGTTCCACTTGTTGATTATTCATATTTATTGTTTTCATTCGGTTGCTTTCTGTCTGATTTATTGAAATGTTTATTTCCTCAAATAATGAAAGAACTTGTTAAATATTTTCTATTTTTAATTTATTTAAATAGGGCATAGCGTCATGGTGCAAAATCAATCACATTGACCTAGTCATAGTTGGACCGGAAGATTCGCTTGCAGAAGGAATCACAGATGAACTCAAAACAGCAAATATTCATTGCTTTGGTCCATCAAAAGCTGGCGCGAGGATTGAATCAGATAAAAGTTGGTCGAAAGACTTTATGATTAGACATCAGATTCCAACAGCTCGATATGGATCATTTACAGATGCGTCAAAAGCAAAAGAGTTCATTCGAAACACGCCAAATGCTCTTGTAGTTAAAGCTAGTGGATTGGCAGCTGGTAAAGGTGTCATAGTAGCAGAAAATGTTGAAGAAGCATGTGAAGCTGTTGACGAAATTTTAGGAGACCACAAATTTGGAACAGCAGGTGATGTGGTTGTAGTTGAGGAAAAACTTTCAGGTTTAGAAGTTTCTGTTTTGGGATTTGTTGATTCTAATTCTGTACGAATCCTTCCTCCTGCACAAGACCACAAAAGATTAAAAGATAATGACAAAGGTTTAAATACTGGAGGAATGGGAGCATATTGTCCATGTCCATTAATCAGCCAACAAGAACTTGACATCGTTAAAAGTCAAGTCTTACAACGTGCTGTTGATGGACTAAGGAAAGAAAACATTAAATATAATGGCATTCTTTATGCAGGAATGATGCTAACACCCGATGGACCGAAAACATTAGAATTTAACTGTCGTTTTGGTGATCCAGAAACTCAAGTAATTTTACCGTTGCTGGACGAAGATTTATACGATTTAATGATGGCATCATGTACAAATCATTTATGTAATGTTCCGGAACTAAAATTTAAATCAAACATAAATGCGGTAGGTGTTGTTATGGCATCAAAAGGATATCCTCAAACATCAACAAAAGGATGCGTGATTGATGGAATTGAAAGTGTTGAAACGATGGATAATCACATCGTTTTTCACAGTGGTACATCCAGAAATGAAAAAAATGAATGGATTACAAATGGAGGGCGCGTTTTAATTAACATTGCTTTAGCCGATAATTTGAGAAAGGCTGCTGAATTAGCAACCAACGCTTGTCATGTCATTAAATTTGACGGCTCACAATATCGTCACGATATTGCAAAAAAAGCTTTCCAAATGTAATTATTATCTATTTAATAATGAATTTTCAATTAATTGTAATCAATTTTTTTTATAAATAACCTTTTTCTAGACATGCATTGACCTACAAAGAAAGCGGCGTTGACATTGAAGCTGGAAATTCTCTAGTTGGAAGAATAAAATCTCTATCATATGGCACTCATCGAAGTGGAGTTGTAGGTCAAATTGGTAGTTTTGGCGGTCTCATGAGACTTAATGACATTAAATATATCAATTCAAATGGTGAAGAGTCAAATTACAAAGACATCGTTTTAGTACAAGGAACTGATGGAGTTGGCACAAAACTAAAAATTGCTGAATCAATGAATGTTTGGGATACTATTGGCATTGATTTAGTAGCAATGTGTGTAAACGATGTACTGTGTAATGGAGCAGAACCTATTGGATTTCTTGATTATATTGCTTGTGGTTATTTAGATGTTCCAACGGTTGCAACAATCGTCAAAGGAATTGCAGATGGTTGCCGAAAGTCAAATTGTGCATTGATTGGAGGAGAGACAGCAGAAATGCCATCAATGTATGGAAAAGGAAACTATGATTTGGCTGGATATTGTGTTGGAATTACAGAGTATGATGAAATTTTGCCAAAAATTAATGATATTCATGTTGGTGATGTTGTCATTGGATTACCATCAAGTGGTATCCATAGCAATGGATTTTCGTTGGTTAACAAAATTTTTGAACAAACTGATTTCAAATTAACTGACGAAGCAGAATTTAGTGACTCTCACAAATCATATGGTATGGAGTTTTTAACACCAACAAGACTTTATGTCTCTGAGACTCTTCCATTCCTTCGTAATGGTTATGTAAAAGCTTTAGCTCACATAACTGGTGGAGGTCTTCTAGAAAATATTCCTCGAATTTTACCAAATAATTTGTCAGTTCAGATTGATGCGCTTACATGGAAAATGCCAAAAGTTTTTAGCTGGTTAGCAGCACATGGTAATGTAGATGCTAATGAAATGTTGAGAACATTTAATTGTGGAATAGGAATGATTATTATTATGCCACGAAATGATATTGAATGGGAAGCTATTCCTGAAGCTCGAATGATTGGCAGTGTAACGCAACGAGATCATAATGGTCCGCAAGTGATTGTAAAAAATTTTAAAGAAGTCTTACATAAAGATGTAGCACATTGGAAAAAAACAGATGCAGAAGTAACTTCAATTTGTTATAAAGATAGTGGAGTTGATATAACTGCTGGAAATGAGCTTGTTGATAATATAAAACCACATGCAAAATCAACAAATAGGAAAGGAGTGCTTGGTGGTCTTGGCTCATTTGGCGGATTATTTAGAATAAGTGAGTGTGGAACAAAATTTAAAGATCCCATGCTTGTATTGGCAACAGACGGTGTAGGTACAAAATTAAAAATTGCTCAAAATTTCGGTAAACATGATACTGTTGGGATTGATTTAGTTGCAATGTGTAACAACGATATTTTATGTAATGGAGCAGAGCCTTTGACATTTTTAGATTACTTTGCATGTGGAAAATTGGATGTAAGTGTTGCTACAAATGTTATATCAGGTATTGCTGAGGGATGTCGCCAAAGTGATAGCACATTATTAGGAGGCGAAACAGCAGAAATGCCTGGAATGTACAAACCAAATGAATATGACCTAGCTGGGTTTTCTCTTGGCATTGCCGAACATGAAGATATTTTGCCAAGGAAAAATTGTTTGGAAGTTGGTGACATCATAATAGGATTTCCATCAAATGGTGTCCATAGCAATGGATTTAGTTTAATCCACAAGCTTTTTGAATTGACTGGTTACAAATGGACTGATATTGCTCCATTCAGTGCATGCGGAAAGACATTTGGTGAAGAATTTCTAGAGCCAACAAAAATTTATGCTAAACAAATTTTACCAGCATTAAAAACGGGATATGTTAAAGCTCTTGCACATATTACAGGTGGTGGATTGTGGGATAACATTCCGCGAGTTCTTCCATATAATCTAACAGCAGAATTAGATGCAAAAAAAATTAACATTTCACCTGTTTATGCATGGTTATCATTAAATGGCAACATTGATAAGTTAGAATTACTTAAAACCTTCAATTGTGGCATTGGAATGATTATGATTGCATCTAAAGAACATGAATTAGAAATTTTCAAATCACTTTATGGATCAAAAGCTTCTGTTATTGGAAAGATAATCCCTACTAAGCCTCATGGACATCAAGTTATTGTGAGACATTTTGCAACATGTTTCGAACGTGTTGAACGTTTACTGACTATTCCAAAAAAACGTGTTGGTGTATTGATTTCTGGTAGCGGATCAAACCTTCAGGCATTGATTGATGCCACGAAAAATACTTCTATGGGAATGTGTTCAGAAATTATTTTTGTTCTGTCTAATAAAGCCGGAGTTTTTGGATTAGAGAGAGCTGCAAAGGCTAATATCCCATCTAGAGTGATAAGCAATAAAGATTATGCAACACGTGATTCATTTGATGAAGCTTTACATAATGAGCTGATCAAGCACAATGTTGAAATTATTTGCCTTGCTGGCTTTATGCGAATTTTGACACCAGGTTTTGTGAATAAATGGAAAGGAAAATTGTTAAATATACATCCAAGTCTCTTGCCAAAATATAAAGGCATTACGGCTCAAAGAGATGCCTTAGAGTCTGGAGATAACGAAACAGGATGTTCAGTTCATTTTGTCGATGAGAATGTTGACACAGGTGCCATTATAGTCCAGGAAATCGTTCCAATATTGGAAAATGATACTGTTGAATCTCTCACTGAAAGAATACACGTAGCAGAACATATTGCATTTCCTAAAGCATTACGCTTAGTTGCAAGTGAATACGTCCGATTGAATGGGCGTGAAACTGAATGGGTTTAAAAAAATTTTTACTATACAATTTCGAACGTAAAAATTCAATATTTTGGCTTTCAAATTTGTTTTGATATATTAAAGATAACTTCTATCTATGTTGCTTTTTTAAAGACAAACTGTTAAAAAACTATAAACTAGTGCATCGGGTAGAAACCCAATGCGGACATATTCACACCTTTCGCATCGAAAATATTATTAATAGGCTTATCGTTTACGACATATCAAAAATCAAAGCTTCAGTAAAAAGCAAAGCTTAGATACTCAAATAGAAAATTATATTATAATATTTTCAACTCAGGCTCCGTTTTTTTCATAGATCAGACTCAGCATAGCTTACAATCTTGGATAGTATTGCAAATTCCGCTTTATTTCAGTTGCTACTCCGTAATCAATCTGGTAAATAGACCAGGCTTTATCATAGCATATAATCATGCGTTGTTAACATTTAATGTTCAATTTAATAATACTTGGTGAGTTCGCTGAGCTTTGCTAAGTAAATGTTTAAACATTTATACCTTGACGAAACATTCTTAAGAAATTCTGCTTATTTTTTTTTTATTCAAAGTTCAGTTTCAAAAAAAAATCATAGTGGTTATTAAAATGTGTAAGAAATGAAGGTATATTGGGGATATTGCTTTTTTGTTATTGAGATTTTCTGTCGATTAACTTGCAAAAAGAAAAAGCGTATTGTCGACTATATTTTTAATGAGCACATTTATATATATATAAATCTTATATATCTTGTAGAAGATGTTAACAAAAACAATACTTCACACGTGAATACGGTGTGAATATAAAAAAATAAATTTTCAACATTTAACTAATCATATCAAATGCTTGTTTTCATTCTTGTTATTTTGAATTTTTGAGATCCTTTCAGCTAATCTATTCTTATTGGAATTTCATGGTATTGTTTTTTAACAGGCACAGAGAAAAAGTTTAACCAAGTTTAAACCTCAAAAATGTATTCAACAATCCACCTAATCTTACTTAAAACTCTTCTGATTACATTTCATAATACTTTTCTTTAGAAACAAGAAAATGAATCAAGCACTAAACCTCCATCCTTTTCATAAAAACGTTTCTTCATTTCCATTTTCATTCGTGCCACAGTATTAAATCCAATTGTACATTCAACTCCTGTAGAAGTTGGTTCTATACAACGTTTGTACATAAATCTCATTCAATTTTTCACCAATATCCATATCATTTCTAATGAAATTTGACATACTTTTGCAGTACTTTTACATTGTATAAACAACATTGTCTTCATTGTGATTCAGCATCGTTGTCGTCAGTATAATCAATTTTCGTAATTCTTCCAAAATTATTTTCATTATATTATGTGAAAAGGAAAATACGGCATCGAGCAACATGCAGATTTGAATTTACAATTCGAAGGACGTTTATCGAGAGAAAAACTCTAAATATGAATTGTAGTGTAACCACAAATGGTAGTCGTATTGATATAACACAAGTAAAAGAATGTCTTCAAAAAAAAAAAAACATTTTTGTTTCCATTAAATGCAACAAACAAAAACTCATCAAACTAGTGTATCGGCGAGAAACCCAATGCGGATATATTCACACTGTTCCATCAAAAGTCTTATGGATAGACCAAGATTTGCTTAGCATAAGTTTGAACGTATAAAGCTAGCGAGTCAGCAGAGCTTCGATCAGCATTAGTTTGAAAGTATTAAGCTAGCGAGTCAGCTGAGCTTCACTCAGCATAAGTTTGAAGATATTATCAGCGGAGCTTCACCCAAAAAAATACTGCTCTTCTATAGAGCAGCACGGATCAAATATAAAAAACTAGAAGTCTCTACGATGTCTCGTTATTGAGATTTCTTGCTGATTAACTTGCTTGCTTGCTTGCTTACAGTAAGCGTATTTTGCGATTTTCTCAGCAATGCCGCAACCAATTTGAAATCTGTTTTTTTGCAAAAGATGTAAAATTCCAGGCACAAACTTTTCATCTCTGAGCTCCATATCCTCACAAAATTCAAAAAACTGATTTTTCAATCTGAACAAAACCAATAGATTCGCACGTGAAAACGGTGTGAATATGAAAATGATTTCTAAAGTGTTCATTTCAGGATGCTTCATGCTTGTAATTAAAATGTATGTTTCTTTTTCTTCCGTCTATTTAATTCTGCTTAATATTACTCTCCAACAGCAAATGATGAGCTTATTTAATAAACAGAACAATAAACGTAATAATACCGTTTTTGTCATTAACAGTAATTTTTTGCTTCAGAAAACTTGTTATGGGGGATTCCATGAGTGAAATAAAAAATTTCAAAGTTTTGCCAATATTTCTTTAATTGACTGCTTTTAACGCCATGTTATGGATTCATAACATTTTAACTTAATCGGTTAACCTTTAGAGTGTCGATCTCATGGAATCGCCCTTGTGTGAACAATATGTATGCTGCTTTAGCATTGATAAAAGATGTCAACATAAAGTTAAGACTTGAAGTTAATAACAGTAGTTATTGTAAGTGAAAAACAAGAAAATGATAACTTGTTATCAGCGTCTTAGATACACAACAGTACAACCTTACTTAGAGATGACGTTGAATGCTCAATTAATTTATTTTAAAAAGGTGAATAGTCGAGAATTTCTTACGAAATTTGGAGCTAAACAAGCCCCTCTGAGAGCTTCTCTGGGGCCATTCACTTATGAAGTCCTAGATTTAAGGGAGAAGAGGGGGGGGGGGGGGGGGGGGGGGTGCAGGAAATTATTGACATCAAATTTCGCAATACGGAAATCAATTATTTCACAAAACTTTTTTTAGCGCATTTTTGAAACTTGTTTCGAAAAGGTAGCTTATTCAACCACTTTGTTCGTTCGGCTGAGAAGAAAAACTTTTTAACCAGACATCGTAGAGAGATCGCGTTTGTTTTATTATCTCCGTTACTATCGATTTATCGACCCATCGAATGCTTAAAAGTCTTGAAACAGTGTATTTATGCTATAATTAATGAATTTTTGTTTTGTTTTCAGTGTAACCTTCCCAAATTTTATTTTATCTCTATAATTCAACATTACCTCTATAATTTCAAATTTTTTCCAGCCGTTGTAAAATTTGAATTTCAAAAAACCGTTAAATGATAAACCTTTTCGCTCAAAATTCAAACTCGAAATTCATTGCAACATATTAATAATTAGATAAGCAAATACTGATCGCTAACACAAAAATGCGCTTAAGTCCCTCGATCAATAACACTGTAATTTTTTGCTTTCAAAATCGTTTTCTTTAATCCCAATAGGGTAAACCATGTTAAAATTTGTGCAATGTTGAAATATGTGCGCTCACATAAAAAAGAAATCAGCCCAAATAAGCCATTTAAACCAAAATTTTGTTTGCAGCTCTGTGTAAAATGGTTGTACAAACATTTCTACATCATTTTGAACAGTCTCGAAGCTTGTAGCAGCTTTAAATTTGAAAAATTTTGTAATCAAATCACAGTTTTAATATAAAATTTGATAATTGCTTTACGGTTTCACAAGAAATTCAAGTTATAAAAATCATTGGAAGTGCTTTAAAAATTGATTTTATAATTTCTTGATTGTAAATGTTAAAATTTGTGCGAATTTTTTTTTACAAATTTTGAAATTTGTGCGCTTTTTGTGGTAGAAAGCGATGGGAATTTTTGTCAACAACAAATATTATATACGTATGAAATTCATGTTTTTATAGGATTTTACGAAGAATAGCATAAATTGAACTACTGAAAGTCAAAAACTGATAACAGCTGATATAAATAAAAAACGTGGATCATTTAAAATTTTAGATAAAAATAAAAAAATGCAAAAGACTTCAAGAATATCCATACATACAAAAAGTATATCCTGTTTAGTGTTTAATTTCAGATCTTTAAATAAAAACATTTTGATTTCCTAATTCTCATCTTTTTATTGTTAAAACTCTATGCTGCATAAAATTTACAAAAAAAATGGAGGAATTGCTGATTTAATGGATGTTCCTTTGACGGTTGTAAACTCAGTCAGTTCAAACTGAGTTAAATCTTGATCATTTAAAGTTTATTCAAAGTAGTTCCTTCAGCAAAAATATCAATTTCTGTTCCAAAAATATGTAAATAAAATGTTTGTTTACATTTAAGAATTGCAATTATGTCAAAGATTGCTATCAAAAAAACGCACAAATTTCAACATTTTTTCGCACAAATTTTAAAATTTTCCCCACAAATTTCAACATTTGATCGAAAATGTCTAAATCTCTTCCCATAAGTAGCATATCCTTCAAAAAACATTATTAACTGAAAGCATTGTTCAAAATTTGACTACCATATTTTTTACTACCCGTTATTTTAATAACGCTTAAAAGCCTTTTTTTCATCCCATAAGCCACTGACTAGTAAAGTTAAAATAGGGTTTTAACCTGTGTAGTGTCAAAATGCCGATTTATAAAATTTTAAAAGAATAAATCTTTACAGATAGCCATAAATTTACATTAATTTTTAATGTTGTAGCGAAACACTTTGGGTTCTTGATTTTGCACAAATATAAAGCCCCGAAATTACTTGAAGGCCACTTTATTTCACAATATACCAAAGAAACCACTTAATTCTAGTTTTCCAGTAACAATGAAATTGAGGTTTTTTACTTAATTTACGTCTTTTAAGATCTCAAATTATATGCTTGAAACTTTCTAGGTTATGAATCGGAAAGTTTACTGGATCTTATTTTGATCTTTAAATATAGCAATAATATCGCCTTCCAGTGACCAATATTATTATGGCTGATCAAAATCTTGGTTTTGTTTCCAGATTCTAATGTTACAACTAATTCTGACTCAATCCTTAGTTATAGTAAATTAATATCATTAATTTTACACAATTTTAAATTAAGCGTGCATATAGATAATTTTCATAAATCAAACTGAGATAACTTGAGAAAATTTAAAATTTGTATAACCGTTAAAGTTTTATACTCTCGGAAATATTTGAAATTTTCTACTGCTTCAATGTCAAACAGGAGTTTTTTTAACGTTTGTGTTTATTGAATTTTCGACTGAGAACAGAAAAGTTATTAATTTTAAATCTTGGCTTTATCACTCACACAATTATTACTCAAAAAAATCAATTCATAAAGCTTAATACTATTTATTTATTGTTAGGATTGTTTCGATTTCGGTTTTGATTTTGTCGATTCTTTCCTCCAAAATTACGGTTGTTTTGTTGGTTGTTTGTATTGCGATTTTGTTGCTGCTGTTGCTGATTACGATTCTTAGACTTAGCTTGAATATCTTCCTTCACAAGATCGATGACTTCATCAGGAATACGAAGATATTTGATCGTACTGCCACGAATGTAGCATTCATTCATTCTCCAGAATTTGTCGCCATCCTTAAAAATAAAAATTAGATTTTCAGGTCCTGGATCTTTAACTAAAACTTACTTTTGATGTGCAAATAACTTCTCGTAAATTGATGTTCATCCATGTATCGCAGCTTACTAAATGTCCATTGTATGTTTCACCATTCTTAAGCTCTACTAGCTGAAGAATTAAAAAAATAAATGTTTACAATCGTTTATAATTAATTTTCTAGTTTTCTTACCATTGGATGTGATTGAGCAGTTTTCAAGAGAGATAAGGGGAGCTAAGATGAAAACAATATTGTGACAATTATGTTTGTTAAGCTTAAAATACAATAACTCACCATCTTGATAGATATTAATGAAAAATGTTTCGATTTTAAAATGCTTTTAAACTTCCATGCGCTGTGTTTTATTAGTTCATACATAAGTTTGAATTTAAAAAAACCGTTTCTTTGAAAACTGTTGTTTTGCTGAATTAAATAAAAAGCTTTTATAAGCTTTTTTACAAATGTTCATGTAAAATAATGATCTCAGTAATCCGAGAAAAGCAATAAATCAGTTGAATATCTCGAACAAAAACATAAAGACGTGTTTCATTGAAAAATCAAAAATAAAACATGGCGCAGCTGTATTTAAGTATAGAAAAGTTCAATTTTGAAGCTTCGACGGTAGAAATTGAATGGAAACGATTTTCAAAAGAATTCAACTCAAATTTGGTAATCAACCAACTTGATGAGAAATCCGACAACATCAAACTCAATTTCTTGACACTATTGATGGGATATAAGTCAGTGAATATCATCAAGAATCTGCCGTTAACAGATCCAGAGAAGCAGAACTATGAAAAAGTGTTTGAGGCTCTCGAGATTCATCTTTCACCGTTATCAAATTTTTTAATTGAACGAATGAAATTACGTGGTCGAATTCAACAAGAAGGCGAATCTGTCGACAAGTGCATTAGTGACGTTCAAACCCAAGTTGATAACTGTGCATTTAATCAGTTCAAAGAAGAAGCCATTCGTGATCAAATAATTTTCGGTCTGCATAACAACAATTTGCGAGAAAAGCTCATTTTATCTGAAGAAAAGTCATTACGTACGTTGATTAGCAAAATCAAAATTTTCTACTACAATCAACAACAATTGAATCAAATAGCATCAGACAGTGTTCAAGCGAATCAAATAGCAGCAGTTGACCAACGTGTTATTCACAAACCGACGTAAATAAACGTGAAAGTTCTCAAATTAAGAGCAAAAAATTTGAGAATTCAATAAGCAAAAAGAAGAAGGAGAAGGTCTGTGCAGATCATGAACGCAAAAGCAGTGAGTCTAATGTAGTAATCAATTGTGATGAACTAAAAGAACATGCAATAGGCAATGTTTGGAGTAAAAAATTACTCGTGCATGATAAAATGATCAATTTAAAGTTGCATACTAGATCGCAGGTTAATACTTTAAGCATAGATATGTTCAAAAGTTTAGGAAAGAAATTTAAGATTGAGAAAAGCAATTTAAAATTACAAGGATATTTTGGTGAAATCAATCACCCTTTAGGGAAGACGATTCTTCCAATTAATTTCAATAATAATGTTTACCTTGAAGAATTCACAATAATTGATAAACATACGGGACCTTTATTAGGTTTAGAGACATGTATAAATCTAAAACTTATGTCTCGTATTGATTCCTTGCAATTGAATCAAACGTTGTGTTCAGAACAGCAAAAGAATAAGTTTTTAGATTTTTTATAAAAAAAGCTTTTACAGGTCCAGGCAAGTTTAATAGACCTCTTAAATTGAAATTAAAGGATAATGCAATTCCGGTGGCGAATCAGAATCGTCGAATTCCATTCAAGCTGAAGAATAAGCTTCAGAATAAATTAAATGAAATGGAAAAGATAGGAATTATTTCACGTGTCAATGAACAAAGTGAATGGATTAATAGTATAGTAATTGTTGATGTTGCATGGTGAATCAACATTTTATTATTAAGAAAGAAATGATCGAAATAGTCATTGAAATACAGTCCACTCATTCTAAAATCTTAAAACATCATTTTTCATTGGTCCTTCGAACCTTGAGATTGAAACAGTGAAACAAGACGTGGAGTAGACTTAGAAATTGAATATTGAAAGAAATTGGAAAATTTGAAGAAGAATTTTGAAGAAAGTTCAAGTTGAATCTGGCAGATTTGTTGAAGCAAAGTTCAACAAGAATAAGCAATAATGAATACATATGAAGGAAAGAAAGCAAAGCTGAATTCAATAATCGAAGATTTTGAAAGCATAAAAAGCACTTATGACATGTTAAAGGAAGAAACAAATTTTGAAGAAGCAAAAGTGTATCATGATGTGTTCAAAGACATGTTAGATGAATTCAACGAAGTATTCATTGAATTTGAACTGTTACATCGAAAACGAGAAAATGATGTTGAAACTCAAAAGTTTACTTTGTTCAAGAAACTTGCAGTTATTACAACATTTGAGTTAGCAGTAAAGATAGAAACTCTGAAGAAAGAGCAAGAGAGACGTTTAGAAGTCAAAGTAAACGCAATTCAACCATCGACATCATCAACAAGAAGAGTGAAACTTCCTGAAATAAAACTTCCAGAATTCAATGGAGAATTTAGCAATTGGATATCTTTTAAAGATACTTATATCTCCTTGATACATTCAAACCCAATGTATTCAGACATTGACAAATTCCATTGCTTGAAGTCATCAGTGAACATTCAGCCAGAATCTCAAAATATATTGAACAACTATCAATTCTCAGGAGACAATTACAAATCTGCCTGGGAAGCGTTATGTCGAAGATTTGACGATCGAAGAGTTTTGTTGATGCAATACACAAATTCTCTTATGACAATTAGTGGTCCTATTGATGGTTCCTTATCAGAAGCAAGGAGAGTCCTAGATACTTACATCAGTCATCGTGCAGCATTCAATTTGATGAAAGTTACACCAGACAAATTATTGGACATGATTTTTGAACAATTTGTCAGGAATCGTTTTGATTAAAATCTCATGAGAGAATAGGATATCCATATTGACAGTAGTGATGAAAAGCCAAGTTGGACTGCTTTCTGTAAATTCATGGATCAACGTATAAAATCATTGGCATTCACTTATCGAGAAGGGAATTCTTTTGGATTGTTCAAATCGTTATCTGATGAAAGTATCACATCACAGTCAAGTAAGACATCACTCGTAGTAAACAAGAATGTGCAAATTGAAAAATGCAAATTGTACTCTAGTAGTCATCGAGTCTATCAGTGCAAAATATTCAGAAAAAAAAAACCAATAAGGAAGACTCAAAATAGCTTCAAAATACAAATTGTGTATGAACTGTCTTAGACCTGGACACAGCAAGCAAGATTGCAATAGTAATTCAAGGTGTAAAGTTTGTGAAGAGAATCATCATACAAGCTTGCATAGCAACAACTCAAATTCTTTATTAAATTCGCAAGAAGCAACTCAAACATGAATTTTTGTCGAGAGGGCAGAACTCTCTCATAGTATTGAGAGTATGAATTAAGATATCAAGTTTTATCATGCTCAAGTCGTCTTAACAAGCTTGGATCAACATTCAAGTTAATTTTATCTCATCTCATCTCTAGCAATACTTGGACGACCATTCAAGTTTTGCAATCAAACTCATTTCTTCCGAATCATATCTGGCAGAACAGAATTATTCTGCAGATTCTCAATAGGCACTAATAGAACAGAATTATTCTATTAGTAAGATCTAGCAAAACAGAACTATTTTGTTATGATCACAATTACGGTGTTATAATTTGTCAGAGCATCCTGCAAGATCTAGCAAAACAGAATCATTTTGTTCCCTAGTAACCAAAAGGTAGATCAATGTATTCCATGAGAATCTTCCATGGATGATACATATGTATTATCCATGTATTATCCATCGGAAGATGATGTCCTATGAAAATGGAAGATAAATGGACAATGCAATAAGACATCAATGTAATACATCAAAGGAATACAAATGGAAAACAAATGGATTACTTTTTTTTGAATAAAACACGTGTTAAATTCCACGTGTTATTTTGTATTTTTCATTTATTTGTGAAATTTTTTGTAAAAGTATTAGTGTGTACTTAATTAAAGTACACTAACACTACGAAAAAGAACAAAAGGACTTAATTTAATTAAGTCGCATACTGATGAACGACCAAGACTCGCACATAAACCTGAGGAAGATAAATAATTAATTGAAAGCCCCATACAAATTTAGAGAGAACTTATAATAGTGATTTCTTCGAGCAATTGTGAAGTATATGGCAAATGCCAAATTTAGAACAAATATTATTTTCCTGCAAAAAAATATTTTTTTGATGATATTTCATAGGATTTGATCCTAAGCAGGCTCGGGTAATACTTCGATGGAACACTCCTGTTACATATTTGTAAAACAAATATTTTCCATATAATAAATAATGATACATTTGATCTTCCATCGACGTCGAAGGAAGATTATATGGAACATTTTGGTTACTAGGGTTAGCATCTTCAATATTCAAGTACTGATAGAACAGAATCATTCTATTAGTATATCTCAAGTACTGATAGAACAGAATCTTCCTGAAATAAAACTTCCAGAATTCAATGGAGAATTTAGCAATTGGATATCTTTTAAAGATACTTATATCTCCTTGATACATTCAAACCCAATGTATTCAGACATTGACAAATTCCATTACTTGAAGTTATCAGTGAACATTTATTTATTTATTTATTTTATTTTATTTATATATGCTTTTTTTTCCCCTTCCCTCCGCTCAAAAAAGGAAAAAGCCTCCTCAAACAATACTTAAACTGTTTGAAGAGGCATAAAAAACCTTTAGGAGAGAAAGAAGAGACAATACATTACACTATACTGATTACATGAATCAAAAATTGAAAAATAAAATAATAATACACTGCAAGCAGCTGCGAGAATTTAAACTGTTGAAACTTCAAGTTCATTTAAAGATATATATGAGTTAAACGTATGATGATCGAATATAAAAAAAACTATTCGATATATGTTGGTAAGTAAGCAGTTTTCAAAATTAAAATTTCCAACGGTAAAAATAAATTTAAAGTATTCAACTGCCAAAAATAAATTTGAATTGCACTGTTCTAAATTTAGTACATACAAAAAAGTAAACAGAAACAAACAAAATATTGTGAAGATAGTTAAGTGCCATTTTTTTTTGGTATCTATGATGAGTATCCAAGAACGAGCAACATTCAGCCAGAATCTCAAAATATATTGAACAACTATCAATTCTCAGGAGACAATTACAAATCTGCCTGGGAAGCGTTATGTCGAAGATTTGACGATCGAAGAGTTTTGTTGATGCAATACACAAATTCTCTTATGACAATTAGTGGTCCTATTGATGGTTCCTTATCAGAAGCAAGGAGAGTCCTAGATACTTACATCAGTCATCGTGCAGCATTCAATTTTATGAAAGTTACACCAGAAGAATTATTGGACATGATTTTTGAACAATTTGTCAGGAATCGTTTTGATAAAAATCTCATGAGAGAATGGGATATCGATATTGACAGTAGTGATGAGAAGCCAAGTTGGACTGCTTTCTGTAAATTCATGGATCAACGTATAAAATCATTGGCATTCACTTATCGAGAAGGGAATTCTTTTTGATTGTTCAAATCGTTATCTGATGAAAGTATCACATCACAGTCAAGTAAGACATCACTCGTAGTAAACAAGAATTTGCAAATTGAAAAATGCAAATTGTGCTCTAGTAGTCATCGAGTCTATCAGTGTATGAACTGTCTTAGACCTGGACACAGCAAGCAAGAATGCAATAGTAATTCAAGGTGTAAAGTTTGTGAAGAGAATCATCATACAAGCTTGCATAGCAACAACTCAAATTCTTTATTAAATTCGCAAGAAGCAACTCAAACATGCATTTTTGTCGAGAGGGCAGAACTCTCTCATAGTATTGAGAGTATGAATTAAGATATCAAGTTTTATCATGCTCAAGTCGTCTTAACAAGCTTGGATCAACATTCAAGTTAATTTTATCTCATCTCATCTCTAGCAATACTTGGACGACCATTCAAGTTTTGCAATCAAACTCATCTCTTCCGAATCATATCTGGCAGAACAGAATTATTCTGCAGATTCTCAATAGAACAGAATTATTCTATTAGTAAGATCTAGCAAAACAGAACTATTTTGTTATGATCACAATTACGGTGTTATAATTTGTCAGAGCATCCTGCAAGATCTAGCAAAACAGAATCATTTTGTTAGCATCTTCAATATTCAAGTACTGATAGAACAGAATCATTCTATTAGTATATCTCAACATCTATCAGGACAGAATCATTCTGGTAGCTTCTACGTCATTGGCTTCAGATTATTAACATCTAGCTCCATCTAATAGAACAGAATTATTCTATTAGACACTCAAACTAAATGCAATAGAACAGAATTATTCTATTTGCATTTAACTTCAAGTTCTAACAGGACAGAACTATTCTGTTAGGGACTACACTCCAACGAATTGTCTTTCAAGATATTAGTTATCAAAACTATCAACGAATCATCATCAAGATGTGAAGTCTTTGTTATTCATCATAAGTCGAGGTGGCAGTTTGTTGCATGGTGAATCAACATTTTATTATTAAGAAAGAAATGATCGAATTTGTATTGATCCAAAACATTTGAATCAAGCATTAAATAAGTTTCATTTTCTGATTCCATCCCTTGATGAATTAAAGCAAGATTTGAAAGATTCTCAATACTTTACGGTTTTAGACCTCAAGGATGGTTTTTGGCACATAGAGTTAGACGAAGAATCCAAAAAATTGTGCACGTTTAGTCCTCCTTTTGGCTTATGGCAATTTAATAGAATGCCTTTTGGTATAAATATTGCATCAGAAATCTTTCAAAAGTAAATGACGGATACTTTTGGCGATTTACCTGGAGTCAAATTTTATATTGACGATATTATTGTTACTGGTAAAACGCTCAGAGAACATGATGAGAATTTAGAAAGATTAATGGTCAGGGCATTAAAGTCTGGTGTGAAATTCAATCAGAAGAAATTACAATTCACACAAAGTTCAGTAAAATTCTTTGGCCATATCTTTTCTAAGAATAAAGTAGATGTTGATCCAGAAAGGATTTCAGCAATTAAAAGTATTCCAAATCCTAAAAATCTGGAAGACGTACAAAAGTTTTAAAGAATAGTTAATTATATAAGGGACTTCATTCCCAATTTACCTTCTTTTACAGTCAATATACGTAATTTGTTAAAGAAAGATAGTGAATTTTTATGGCTTGATAATCATCAAGCTGAGTTTGACAGCATTAAAGAAGTAATAAAAAACGTCACCTCATGTACTACATTTAATGAAAATATGCCAATAATTTTAGAAACCGATGCCTCGTCATACAGTTTATGTGCATGTTTTAAACAAGGAGATAAAATTATTAGCTTTGCTTCACGTCGTCTTTCTGAAACTGAAAAGGAGTACGGTCAGATTGAAAAAAATTTTTTAGCCGTTTTCTTTGCGTGCAAAAAGTTTCACAATTATATTTATGGTAGGAAAGTTACTATAATATCTGACCATTGTCCTTTAGAAAGCATAATTAATAAAGATATTAGTAAGATAGGATCAAAACGCTTGCAGCGTATTCGATTAAAGTTACACAAATATGATTTAGATTTGAAGTACAAGCCCGGCAAAAGCATTCCAGTAGCAGATTACTTATCTCGATACGTTTCAAATAATATTAGTGATGATAAACTAAAAATCTATCAAGCTGAGACAGATAAAGATAAAGAATGCTCGTTGTTAAAGAAATACTTTGCTGAGGGCTGGCCGTCAGACAAATCAAAAGGACCTGATGAAATAAAATTCTTTTATAATTTGCGAATTGAAATTTATGTTTCGGATGATTTAGTATTTAATCAGGATAGAATAATAGTTCTCAAATCATTGAGAAAAAATGTTCTTAAAGATCTTCATGAAGGTCACATGGGAATTACTAAAACCTTACGTTTCGCCAAAGAATTAGTTTATTGGCCTTCACTAAATGTTAGTATAGAGAATTTAATTAAGAGTTGCGAAGAGTGCAACAAGTTTCAGAAATCGAATAGAAAGGAACCAATAATTCAACACGAGATTCCTTTTCGATCATTTGAGAAAGTTGGATGTGACTTCCTTGAAAACAGTGGAAAGAGTTATCTCGTTGTTATTGATTACTTTTCAAAATGGATTTCGTGTAAATATTTAAGTTCAAAGAATTCGAACGCTGTAATTTCTAAATACATTGAGATTTTTACAGAACACGGCTTTCTAAAGACTATTATTGCAGACAACATGCCGTTTAATTCATTTGAATGTAGAAGTTTTGCCCATGAGTGGGATATTAAAATAGTCACTTCAAGTCCTCGTTATGCACAGTCGAATGGTCTTGCAGAGAAAGCTGTAGGAATAGTTAAAAATATGATAAAGACATGCGATAATTTCAATAAAGTTTTAATAGCAATTTATAATATGAAAGATATATGAAAGATAGCTTGCTTCAACCAAAGTTAAATTTCACAATTTAGGTGAAAAATTCGATAAGAAGCAAACTAAAACCAAAGTTTATTACAATCGAAATTCATATAAACGTAATGAGTTCGATTTAAATCAGAAGGTGTGGGTACAATTGCCCGATAACACTTAGTCTAAAGGATCAATCGTTAAGAAATGTTAAGAGCCTAGAACCTATGAGATTTGTATGGATAATAATAGGGTTATTAGAACCAATCAAATTGATCAAAAGAGGATGTACTGGAATTGATGGATTCTGCAACTTTACAAGCTATAAAATCATTAACCACTAAAAAGTCATTAGTGAAAGTTAAATATTTTGAGATTGAGAAGGTTCCGGTTGAATTTTCGATACAGAAAATAGTATCATTTTTAAGAAACCAAGGCAACCTGAATTTTATTTTCTTCCTACAAAAACGATGGGACCAGAACTCGACTGATGACTGCAGCTGGATTATTGGGTGCAGAAACAGTTCTGAATTCAATCAATTTTTATGGCAATTCAAAGATTTTTCAATCGAAGAATGTACATTCTCGATAAATCCAGTTAAAAAGGACCTTGAAGTCCGTTTTGCTAAGTCTAATGTCCAACTGAGCTCACCAATCAACATATTGAAATTGAAGTCTCTTTCTTATAATCACTTTTTCCCGTCAGAACGGATGATGGAGATAATAATCGAATGTGATACAAACGAAGTGCTGAACAAAGTTGATGGAATCATATTAAATTATAAACATGCAACGAGAATGCTAAGCGAAAATATCTATATCTCAACGTTTCAACAGAATGGAGTTTCAAGTCTACAAGAGTCTTTTTCAAAATGGGTATTAGTGATGTGTCATATATCGATGGGATTATTTTACTCCTAGAGAAAACAATTTGGTCTAGGCAAACATCTTCAACACGAACGGACAATGATGAGGTCGTATTTTCAGTAGATGAACGTATAATCATCAAAAATATGATAACGAACGGCTTGGATCTCAATAACATCAGGAACTCATTTATTTAAAATCCTCAAGAATTGAGTAAATTGGATTAAACTAGGGTAAATACTTTTGATACTTATGTTGTCTAAAGGCATCAGGAGGATGAATTCCTTCAGCGATCAATTTTTCATACAAAACAAAACTTTGCAAAATATAAGGTTTTGGGATACAATCAGTGGCTTTATCAAATATTTTGATATCAAAAAATTTATTTCTTAAGTTGTTTAAAATTTTGGAAGTATTTCTTTTGTGAAAGAATAAGCGGAACTGCCCAAAAAATCACTTTTAAAAAAGCTTGTTTTTTACTTTTAAAATTTGCACAAAAATTTGTCGAAACTTTTGAAATTTGCACAGTTTTAAGCGTTGGAGGTATTGAAAAATTCGATGTAAACATTAATTCTTTTGATGTAAACATTAGTTTTTCGGATTCAAAACATTAATGTTTTATGCCTGAAATAAAGATAGCGATAAATGGGACTGTAGGAAAATTGAAAAAAATATTCAAGAATCATCGGCGATTAAAAACTTACCGAAAAAAGAATCAAATTTTAAAAGTAGCAAGTGTTAAATTGTTTCTTAAGGATATATCTATGATTAAGCAAAGAAATGGCATTTAAATAAAATAATAATTTGCGAATTTAAATATAGAATTAGTCTTTATTTAATGATGAATGATAGGAATAAAATCAGCTTAAATATGAGATATCCATTTCAAGGACTTGATTCTATAGTTTTACATATAATGGATCCTGTTTGATTTCTTGTGCTTGATTTTTGAATTTTTTTCTTTAATTTTCCTATTAATTTTCAACGACGATGCATGTGAAGATGTTAGAAAAAGAAATCAGTAATACTGTTATTAGATTTGAAAATTACCAGATGAAAATATTATTTCTTCTCCCAAAACAATAAAAAAAAATAATTGTTTGTATAAATTAAATTCAAAAATGTTGGATTTCTATCAAAAAAGTGTGCAAATTTTAAAAGTTTTTTGTGCAAATTTTTAAAATTTCCATGCAAATTTCAAAAGTCAAAAATAAAACGCTTATATCTCTGCTGATATCCATCGTAGCTTTCAGAAAGAAGTTGCAAATT